TTGGGACGAGGCCATACCAGGTCAAGCAGGCTTGCGCTCCCGTGGCGACGAGCCGCTGCCCATGCCTGTGAGGAGCGCGCGCTCGAGACGCACCTTTGATTTGTCATCAGCTTCTCGTGCGTTGCTGCTCTCGCAGGCCGGGCCGGATTCTGCGCGGGCCCTCACAGTCCTTCCCGCAACTGAGGACGTCACCATCCCTCCGTCCCACTTTCGGGTCCGCCTCCTCCGTCGGCAGCACCGCAACATCCACTGCAGCGTGGGCTGCAGCGATGGTCCGGACTTCTAGCCGTTGTCGCTGCCTCTCCACGACACCGTGAACGTCGCGGGCCCTCTCCCCTACCTCAGCGACGTGCTCACCGAGCACCGGCCCCGCCGCATACCAGTCGATCGCCCGCACGGTGATGTGCACCCAAACCGCATCCCCTTCAACTCCCGAAGCCACCGCACCCCTGTGCCCGCGGCCGAGTAACTGAGCCCCTTTCCCCGCGGAAAGCAATGTGCATAGGGACCGGACGGATCTTCCGTTGCAAATGGGTGTTTTGAAAAAAAAATAGCACAACCGAGCGAAGCACAGAGGGGGAGTTAGCATAGAATATTTCGGTCATTGGTGTTGCTGCCGCTTATTCTTCCCCCTTACCAAGGCGGTGGGCCCAGGTTACTTTGCCTCCGTTCGCCCCATTGCCAAAATTGAGTGAGCTGACGCGCAGGGGAAACGGGAGCGTCCTCGAACCGGCAGACACAACGAAAGACACAGGGAGACAGAGAGAGTATGCGCACAGGCACAGGGGGACAAATTTAAATTTGTGACGAAACCAAACACAGGAAGCGCGCTCTTCCTGGGGTTGGGTTGAAAATCACCGATCATTGCTAACGCTACCCAACGATGTTCTTATGCGTCCTCGTTTACGCTTCCTGTGCATAGAATCCTGCGGGAAAACGCAGGCTCTTTCAATGTTACTTGTGTGGAGCTGAATCTTCCGGAGAAGCAAGATGTTTGTACAGTAGCCAATGTTCGGTTGAACGCTTATGAATGGTTCTCCATGTTATGTGCCCCTGGGTCCCACGAACTGCAAGCACCTTGCAGGAGCACCCAGCTTTTTGTGCAGTTGCGTCTGCGATGACCATCGCTCGCTCGCGTGGTGTGGCTTACTCAGCTCGTGCATAAACGAGGGTTGGTGCCGTTGGAACGTGTGTATATCTTGGATGCTAAGGTTGGGCCGCTGGACCAACGACGTTTCATGGATGTTTTCCGGGAGGTGGGGCTAGCTAGTTGGAGTTGGTGCAGAACTGTTGTGAGAGCCGTGCCATACGTATCAGGTAGACATGAAAGCCCCTCTAATGTCCGCCTATGGCCTGGACGGGTTGGACAAGCTGCCGGGTTTCCTGAAGTGACCCTGATTGTATGCGGGTTTTGAAGCAGAACATTGCTTGCACCGACCAGGTACGCTCTGCTCAGTCACTTGCAGTGCCCTTGTTCTTGTCGAAATACAGAAGCGACATTGCATTGCTTTCATAGTCAATCGTCATGATGCGGCGAATCGGAAAACATGTGTTCAAGAAAGAGAATGTCGCCAACCGAAGATAAAGTGGACTTTCTCCCTTCATGAGTCATGAGTGGCGTCGCTTCCCATGCATGTGCGACTCCCACAGTCGATACGGCTGCCAATTGGAGGGGTCTGTGTGGCCACAGCACTGCAACGAAAAACAAGTGCGCTACGTATTTTCCTTCGAAACTTCGCTTCTGAAGTCATTGCTGAACGGTTTCAACGCTCGCTTGTGGCATTTGGGGCAGGTGCTATGAGAAACGATTGCGAAGTCAGCAATGAAAGCCTTTTCTCTTGCTCGCTGCGATTTCGATTTGCGTAATTATTTGACATACTTCCCATACGTCGTTCGCATGACAGGAGTTCTTAATTAGATTAGGCGGCCGATGACGATGAACAGACCGAGGATGGCTAACGCAAGCTCAAGCCACCTTATTGGTGAGGGGTTGCATTGGATGTACATTCGGCAGGTATGATGGAGCGCCCTTGGCATTGCTTGCCGAGTGGTTTCGCATCTTGGGATTCCAGGTGGATCTTGTGAGTTTGGGCCTCGGGTCCGAAACCAAAGCGGCTGTATACCTGTGCGAGTCTTGCCGGGAAGTCGTGAAGCTTACCCGACATTAGGTGCCGCAGACATCAAAGAAGACACATTCCGAGCTGATGCGGGCCTCTGAGGGAGTTCGACACTGCCCCAGTAATGTTTGGTGCCATAGTTCTCATGGACATCGAGGTGGCGGCAGCTTTTGAACGAAGTCCAGCAGCTACCAGTAGGCTAGTTGCTGCTTTGGTCCTTCAGCTTTTGGAAAGCAGTGTCATCGAGGCAGTACCTTCTCGTGAACTATTCCCGTACTGCGCACAGATTTCGCGAACCGATAATACCAGCTGCGACTCGCCTGTCGCAGAAGTGCATGGCTGAAATGCGCTCAGGCTCCGTGGTCGGTCAACGAATGTTCAGTGGAGGTGCGACCTTGGTCATAGATGTTGAGCCAACAACTGTTGACTCCGAGCAAAAAGTTCGGCATGCGCATGTTTTGGTTTTTGAACCATAGCTCCGCTTAGCGTAATTCGTTCTGACCATTCAGAACTGAAAAAAAAACTGAAACATGATGGTTCAGGGCACTACGCGTCGGGCTCTCAGCTTGCCACTGGTTCGTAGAAGTGCTCAGCACCGTTGCTAGGCTCATGCTCGTAGGCTTGCGACTGCGAAGGATACAATGGTTTCCAGGGCTTCAAAGGCAGTGATGCGACGATGTTTGCTGACGGGCGGGGATGTTGCTTTGATGCTTTGATACTTTGATACTTGGCCGGTGGCGGGGCCGACTGCCGCAATCTTGTGCCGGTCGCAAATCTGGGCCGGAATTGTTCTTACTGCAACGGTGGGGCTTGATGAACTCGTCGACATAGACCGTGTTTTCGAAGCGGAGGACGGTTCTACATGGTGCTACAACGTTTACGGGCAGTGGCATTCCTACCCTATGCATGAGATGGATCTCGATGATGGGCTATCTGTGAAACTTATGAAGCTGTTGGCCAAGAATTTTGGCAAGGCCGATCGGAGGCTTCAATGAAGAAGAGGACAAGGTGAGACAGCCGGACAAAGAGCAAGCAAGCAAGCAAGAGAGCGAGCAGTTGGCGACAGTGTAGGTGTTGCTGCTGGAAGTGAATTCTTGGCGCTATCCTTCTGCCGCAGCCTTTGCAGTCTTGTGCATGTGAACTTCGGCCTGTTTGCTGCATGTTACGGATCGGACGCTGGCTTGTGGCCTGGCATATGTTCCAGTAAGGTGTGGGTTGATCTTCCGCGCCTGTGGCTTGCGACTCACACGCAAGCCTTGCACCCAGCAATTCAGTGTGACAGCAACTAGTGACTGTGCTTGATCCAGTTCCCAAATGTCAATTTAGCCGAGGTCGCCAACGGTAACTGGCGAGGGTACCTTCGCATCCAGACGCTTGCGTGATGGATTCTTGAAAAACAAGGATCTCGCTTTCTTCATTTTTCAGTCCTTGAGCTGGTAGCCTCCCGGTTTGGCATGCGGCGCCCAGCAGGCATCTCCATCTCAAATATTCGACCAGAAATGCCCGGAGCGGAATAGCACAGACTCTTCTCGGCACGTGTGCAAAGCCCATTCAGATGAACCGCTCCTCACTGTGACCGTGACACTCTACGGGTAGCACACAACTGAATTCGCGGCTCTTGCAATGCGGTGCCGCAATGTGGCTGTTGGCCCTCGGGGTACTGGGAGGATTGATCTCATGTGCGTATGGAATCAGCTCCTTCGCTCAAGATTTGCACGGGTTTTTGGCTCTCATTGTGGTTTGGCATTTTGTGATTTGTACGATGCGGCAGCGAAAGCACGTCGAATCAATCGTGCGTCCCTGTGTGCAAGTCGAGTGCACAAACATTCCCGGGATTCGTCATCCAGGAGGAGAGAGACTTAATTTGTAGGCTTGTGGCAAAACTCGTACCATCTACTGGGACATTTGCTCAGGCCTTGTGCGGCGGAGATGTAGACGTGATGAGTTCGAACACTTTGTGGGACCGCTGGAAATATGGTCGGAGATGCTGGTGCAGTGTCCTGTGCTTTTCTTGTTGCTGGGACTCGCGATTCCAGGCACTCTTGGTTTTCTAGGAGTACAGGCGGCAGCATATGCGCCGAACATAGATCTCGATTTCGCTGGCTACTTGGCCGTGGATTTGCCTGTGCAGTTCATCCAAAATGCGGTGGAGGAGTGGTGTCCATCTGCGGGTGACTCTGTGCATGTGCGAGAATCCGTGATGCCGTGAGGAGGCCATCGCTCAAGAAACCCTTCAAACGCAGAGAACGGATGATTGGGCAGGGCGGCTTTTTTGAAACTGGTGTGTGCCGTGTATCTCTGCGCATAGACAGCTCCCTGTGCGATGTTTAAACTGTGCACAGTGGTGTTTGAGGTGGCGCTTTCCAGGCTCTGCCCCCCTGAATTCAGTGGAGAGCACTGGTTCAGGCAGCACAGCTACACCACGCTTTCTCAGCTTCACGCCTCGCCCATGCAAGATGGCGGAAGGCCGGCGGCTGGCTTCTACACAATCACAGAGCTGGTGGGAGCTCAACATCTTTTACGAGGAGCGCCACTTTCCCGAGACACCGCTGGAGTCGAATGCCTGATGCCTATTTATTGCGAAAAATAGGTTCTACATCCTGTGCAGGCAGTGGACTCAAACGTCGGCGTTTTCACTGAGCAGGCGCTGCGAGCTCGGGGCCTATGCCCATGCTAAAACATAAACATGCGCGGAGTGCTGGGTCGTGTGCTTCAAGCCTGGCGTCTTGAACCACGCTGCTACTTCTGTCATGACCCGACCGGGTTGATCCCACACTCAGGAAATACTTACTTTCGAAGACCTTGTTCAATCGGTGCAGATGTACGATGAGTTCTGCTGGAAGTCCAACGGTAATTGCAAGGCCTGGTGTTGGCACTCGGAAAATGTGCACGGAAGGACCATAGCATATATGGATTTGCTTGAAGGTGCCCCAGTCTCCGACCAACCTCTTTTTCCATCTTGAGTGGCTTGGCTGCAGCACACTGCAGCAAACTCGGCATGTACTGAGGCGGGTGTGTGGCTGAGTGTGGATATGTGGAACAGGCCTGGCAAGTCTGACCACGAGCTGCAAGACATCAACGAAACGCTGAGGATGATGCTCAGGAGAACTCAGAAAGCACAACTGTCACTGAGAGCATGTAGGTAATGAAACCGACTGGTGATGCTCGTCGATTTGAGCAGGAAGCAGATCTTCCATTTCACCGACAAAGACTTCAGTGCACTCCATTTGCAGAGCAACTACACGCGCAGCACGTTTGTTGGTGGAATACCGCTGGGCGGGTACAACAGATGGCAGACGAGGCCGAGCGAGCGGGAACTTAAACGAGGTCTTTTGTCTTGTCCTCTCGGCAGATGGGATGAACAACGCCAGAAGCACGAGGGCTTCCTGGTCGAGTTGTATACTGAGGCGCGCAGTGACTCTCCGAGCTCAGAGTTTCTTGCTCGTGGAGTGTTGTGATGCCCTGACAATGCTTTGAGTCTCGCATAGATGTGTCTGACGAGACGACCTCCAACGGAGTCGTGGTACTTGTAGCCGGAAAAGCCTCAGTCGTGGTCTGTGCCGACCAATTTTTTCCTGCTGCATTCTATCAATCAGACCGTGGCTCAGCAAAGCCATTGCACTCACGCTGTGGTTTTCCTTTCATTCTGTGAGGGTTCGCAGGTGCTGAGCCGTGCAGACGATGGACCTCGGCCACTCAACTTTGAGCACGTGAAAATCACCTGGTTCGAGCCTATGCTGAAGGACTACGAGGTGCGCAGGGAATTCAAGGTTGTCTTGAAAAGGCGGGGCATTGAAGAAGCGTTTGGAAAGCTTCGACGAGGTCAGCAAGTGGCTCTTCCACGATGCCGCCTGGTGCGTAGGTACATTCGCGGTGGCATCTTGGCTGTCACCATGTCGTTGGTCGGATGAAGTGGTTGAGAAACATCCCAACTTCTGTCAGCCTTGCAGGTCGCAGTTCTGATCGTGTTGAATCTTCAGAGCTTTTGTCTCATGGTCTTCGGAATGCTGGGTGTGCTCTTGGCTTTCGCCGCAACCTTCTACTTCCACACTGTGGTCTTGCAGTACAAGTCGCTGACCGTTCTGGACTTCTTGTCACTTTTTCTTATCGTTGGCATTGCAGCTGATGATATGCCTCTTGATACCATTGGACAATCCGTTGAAGATGTCTCCAGCCGTGCTCGAAATGCCAGCAGGTTCATCCTGTGCCATACCTATCGCCTGGCTCCTGCCGTTCTCGGTCCCCGGGCCGGGCCCAGGCAATGCATGAAATGGGCCTACAAGCATGCGGGCGAAGCCATGCTCGCCGGCGCCTTAAGGGACCCCCTGCAGCTTGCTGCATTTGCGAGCCAGGGCTGAGGAACGTAGAGACAAAAGTGCTTCCGGAAGTCGAAGAGCCTGGGTTTGCAGGTCACTACGGTAACCACGGCAGGATCCTTCTATGCGAATTGCATCTCGGTGTTGCGCGTTGTGAAGCAATTCGGCTTCTTCATGGGCAGCTTGGTCCGAGAAAGTCCCCATGTTGCATTGCTGCACTTGCACTCCTGCAATCCTTGTTGTATGCGATTAGATGCAGAGCATAACAAGCTCGAGGTACCTTGGTCGTTTGGAATTATATTAACGTCATGATGATTCTGCCTTCAGCCGTCCTTGTGGCAGAGAAGCATGTCAGCAAGCAGGATGATGTCATGCTAGCTGCAGAACCTTGTGGCAAGTTTCAGCCAGCCGCGCACCGTAGCCTCGACAATCTCAGGATCTACGTGTGGCCGTGCGTCGGTTGGCTCTTCTCATGCCTCAGCTGTTCTGCAGATGCAGAAGGACAGACGCCCTTGTCTGTCGATCGGGTTGCGTGAGCTACCCCCAATGACCTTCTGCACTACTTCGGTTCAAGCTAGTGTGCTTGTTCAGGGGGCGTCGACGAGTTCCAAAGTGTGGACGTATCCAGAATCACTTCTATTCTCTCGCTGCCTGCTGACTGGACGGACAATATGCGAGCGTCGCAAGTATCATGGGCATCTTCCGCACACAGCGTGGAGACTTGACGCTTGGCTAAGAGCCACAGTTTCTTATGTCCGTTCGCGCCGTGTGATCGGTTGCTTTAGAAACTGCAGTGTGAGCTTTAAAGCCTGGGCAGCAGGCACGATCGGGCGGCCTTCCAAAACATCCACGTGGACAAGGCTGGAGGGCGCTCTGAGCTGCCTGGTTTCAAGGAGCAACCTGCAACTCGGCTTGCCAGCTGGCGAGGCGATCAACGCTGGCATATCAGACCGCGCGCTCCACTATCAATTCTATGTCGATGAACGTGAGGCTCGTCTGCGGGCTGGACAGTAAGTCGAAAGCGACACATCTGCCGCTTCCGTTTGGATTCCAATGTCACGGAAACCCATGCTGGCAAAAGGTATTGGTCTGGGAAACCAAAATAATATGGTATAACAGTCTAACCATTGTATACTATAGTATACCAGCACAACCAAGTATAGTATAATTATAATGGAGTATACTATAACATAAGCATAACATTTCAAAACATGGGGCAACATTGTAACATACTATAATGCTTCAGAACATGATGTGCTCAGCCAGGCCACCTGTAGCCAAGAGGCTAGACTCAACGCGACCATCACTTTTGACACCTGTAAACTCCACACTGGCTGTGGCGCCCCCGCTGAACCGCAAGAGAAAGCACTGTCTAGTGGCAAAGCATAGATCCCTAAGACTGGCTGGGTGTCTAAGCCTTACGCCGACCAAGATCTCTCAGCTCCGTGCAGGACCTTGGCTTCGCGTGCAACCATGACGGTGCGCGGCTATGTTTGTAACCTGCAGTGATGTGGTGCTCAGTGAAACATCAGCTGCGTTGGGCCGGGACTGTTTTTTCTGAAGTTGTTGGTGATCGCGTGTGCCTTAGCATAAGTGCGGCTAGTCGGTTGCAGTAGTTCAGGCAGAGGGTCAGGTACAGGGTCGGTGAGAATCGCTTTCTCTATATAGGACTGCGCGCCTGACCGGCAGCTGTAGCAATGCCGACCTTTCGCAAACGATCAAGGCATCAAAGACTTCTGCGGCGCGTAACAGCCACTTCCGACACAGGCTTTACTCTAGCACTGTCAGATATTTGATATCCGCCTCAGCTCCGAAGCCTAGGTCCTGATCAAACGCGAGATGGACATGGACCAGCTCAGCAGCTTTGAGCACTTTCTCCATGGAAGGTGCCATCGCATTCTTTTTCGTGGTCGCTGCTGCTGGGTGCTGCTGATGCTTGCTCTTGAATGGGATGATCGAAAGTTTGGGTCCATAGTATAGTACAGCATAGTATGATTATAGGTTTTTATAGTAGAAATATAATATGCTATAGTATACTATAAGTATACTGTCATATGACATGATAC